GAGCAGACTGAAGTACTATTGATTATAGATTTGATATTGCTGCAGATTGTGAATTACGAGCACACACACTGCACTTGGGTATGGGCTGCCATATTTTGTTATTTTTCTGTGCGATCAGGTGGATCTGACAAATATTTGTAACGTACGTTACAAATATTTGTTACATATGTTACAAATATTTGTAACATATGTTACAAATATTTGTTACATATGTTACAAATATTTGTAACATATGTAACAAATATTTGTAACATATGTTACAAATATTTGTAACATATGTAACAAATATTTGTAACGTACGTTACAAATATTTGTAACATATGTAACAAATCCAGTTTAACGCCACTGTCCGTCACACAGTGAAGCCTTCAGAGTCGGGCTCTGTGCACAGCAGCTAACAACATGGAAGTGCGCAGATTGAATAGTGTTCCAGTGTCGCTCCGTGTCAGGATCCCACCGTCCTGTTCGTGTCACATCATAAATTGCACACAGCAAGCTTCAGTGTTTGTCTCTGACCTTTGTTTGCTCATCTTTGTTCTTGTTGTGGTTTGCAGTGCAATTATCGGTCGCTCCACTAAAGATTTCAAGATCTGCTTGTTGAAGTTTATTGAATTCATGCCAATTGTAAGTGTGAACTCTGGAGGTTTGTGACACCCACGCTGATTTCATGCTCCCACATCCCATCATCACACTAGCATGTGCTTGACTAACAGTGCGAATGACTGTGTGACTGACTGCATGGTTGAGCTCTGCGGCACAGAAACTGGTGTAATTATCTGACATGAACTGAGCATGCACCGGCTGACTGTCTGTAGCTTGCATGGCCTTCATCACCTGTAGCTGTGTTACTGCACGCCGTTCTCCTGGAGCTTTCTTTGAATGTGTGATTGGCTGTTTCCAGATCTCCCTGGTGAACAACTTCCTGAAGTTTGGTCTGAATGAGCTGAAGCTGAGGTTTCGTGAGAGGCTAACCCAGCATCTCTACAACCAGTACCTGCAGTAAGTACACCAGTAATGCTCGTCGTGTGCAGAGGGGTTCACCTTCAGTGCATGTGAGACTGACAGCAGCAGGGTCAGGCTGCTGTATTTCAAGCTAAACGTCAATGAAACAAGCGGCTTTGTTTGCTAAATGACACAACACCTGGAACATGTTCAAATGCATGTAAGCTAGGCCTGTGTGGCTGCAGCGGTTTCCTGTTTGCTACTATCAGCTCGGCTCTACTGAACTTTGACCCTGCAGACGTAACTGAGGAGAGCCAAAGCAAACAGTGTCATCATCACAGGGACTCTAACCCGACTCGTAGAGAATCAGACCTGTTGTGTGATTGCTGCTCTGTCTCCTGCTTCAGAGGTTACACTTACTACAAAATGGGAAACTTGGACAACCGTGTAGCCAACGCAGACCAGCTGCTGACACAGGATGTGGAGAAGTTCTGCAACAGTGTGGTGGATCTGTACTCCAACGTCAGCAAGGTACTGCCATACATGTTACTGATCAGTCAGACCAGTCAGTACTGACACAGCCGCACTCCCCCATCATGCAGAGTGGGATGTAAACACACTGTACACATCAGAGTACCATCACCCCGTGGGGCGGGTGGATGGAGAGCAAGGCGACCCAGCAGAGTCAGATTGATATCATGGATATATGTAGCAAAAACCTCTGACTGCAATAATTTAACAAGATCGGCGCCTGGGCTTTGAAATGGATAGCAGAGGTGTGGTTACCAGGAGGCTGAGGTGCAGCAGTGGTGGGAGGGCTGGGCCACATCACACCGTTCACTGTAACACCAG